ACTATGACCTTGATAATGACCTCGACGAGGAGCAACATATTGTAAGTTCCGTCAGGAGATATTTTAGGGTCAACGGCGTCAATGGCAGTAGTGCCTCCCTTAGTGATTTTTCCTCAGAGGAATCTTCAGAAGATTCTTCAACTGAAGAGCTGCATGGCACATCAGCGGAATCTCCTGAGCCTCCGCATTGCACACCAGCAGAGCTTCAAGGTCATATTAAAGACCTCAAGGTGCGTAAAGCACATGGAGAGGATCGAATCGCTAATAAGGTGCCACAATGTGATTCCTGACGTAAAATTTGGCTTTCGGTCTGAGCATAGTACGGAGCTACAGGCCATGAGTAACCAGGGGGTTCACCCGTAATGAAAGTACTGGCATCTTGCTTCTGGATGTCTCAAAGGCATTTGACAAGGTGTGGCACAAGGGCCTTCTCTACAAATTGATCCATAAGGGCTTCCCCTTCTGGCTCCTAAAACTTTTGAAATCATTTCTCGAGGGTAGGAAATTTCGGATCAAAATTAATAACGTTCTGTCGACAATACGTCCCATCAAAGCCAGTGTCCCTCAGGGTTCGGTTCTTGGACCAGTCCTTTAATCACTGTTTATTCATGACGTCCCTTGCCCCAGCAACTGTGAAATCTACCTCTATGCTGATGACACTGCCCTGGTGGCCCAGTCGTGCTCTGGGGATCTAGTTCACAACAGGCTGCAAAGAGCCGTGGACGAGGTACTGGATTGGGCGAATCGGTGGCTGATCAAAATTAAACATTCGAAAACGCAGGCAATCTATTGTACTAAAAAACGTAGCGGTGCCCCGTCTGAGGTTTCAGTGAATGTACCATGGGAAAGCTCTGCTAAGTATCTCGGTGTCACTCTTGACAAGGGGATGACCTGGCAGAAGCACACTGAAGCGTTAAAAACTAAATTCCAAATCTCGTTTCGGCAACTCCCTATGCTATGTAGAATATCAAAATTAAGTTTGGTCAACGAAGTTCGGCTGTACAAGATAGTTATTAGACCAGCGATCACTTACACAAGTGCGGCTTGGTGTTTTCTCGCCAAAACGCATTTGCGTCGCCTGCAGGTTTTGCAGAACAGAACCTTGCGTACAATCACTAACGCCCCATAGTATGTTTCCAACGAGACCCTTCACAGAGACCTTGACATCCCTTACCTAAGGGGCTACATCAAACAACAAGCGCAGCTACGTTATAGTCAAAAGGAATCGCAAAACAGCCCTTCGCAAGCACACAAAGCCGCGTCTCGCACTGTGAACAAAATTAAATCGTGCGTCTTCAGGTCCAACCAAATTTATAATTTTTCTTCAACAACCAATCCCAAAATTAATTTTAGGATCAATTTAGAATTACCGAATACTAATGAGCAATGCTAAGGCATTGACGCAATTGACGCATTTCTTTTTCCTTTGCTCCCCCTCCTTCCTTCCTTTCTTCTTCCCTTCTTTCTCCCTGAATTTGTTTGGTATCTGGACAACCAGACCTGACAGACCTACTAACTTACAAGACTTCAACCAAGAGCAAAGGTCCTATGGACCGCTCTGACACAATGACGAATAGAAGTATATCTGTCGGCGTCAAACGCTGAACAACTTCAGTCAAACACCGTAACAACCACATTACTGCATTTGCCTGATTCAATCATTCATTGTACCAGTTTTGTGTTCATTTCCTTGAGTATACACATCGTCTTTTTTGTGTTTGTAAAGATGTTGCAGCATTCAGAATTTTTTTACAAGAAACTAAGTGAAAACTATGACAGTGTGAATAAGAAAAAGCCATGGAATACAAATGAATTGAAGGAGGTAAGTTAATTTTTATAATTTTGTGAACCTAACCTAAATTATAACGTACATAAGCTTGCTCAACAGCAGCATCCATTGTTGCCGGATTTCGTATATAAATAATAAATAATTGATTAAAAAATATATTATTCATCTACACTGGAGTTATTTATATCAACAATACAGGTCCTCGACGCACGTTTCACCATCAGGAGATTGTATCAATTCTTATAAACTCATTACAAATAAAAGCTATCCCTAAAAAAGTTTTATCAATACGTGAAGCTGTCCAGTCACTTTCGCTAGAGGGAGGCCAAGGACATTTTAAGTATTCCTGTAAACTAGCGAATAGCAGTGTTTATCGAATAGATGTGTTTGTTTAAAAAAAAACTTCTTTGTAATTCAAGGTGCCATATGAGTCTAACACGCGCTAACAAATAATGTTTGAAATACTATAAAATATAAGATGTATGTAACTATTATTCGTTTGTCACTACTCACAGTTCTGTATTTTGTTTAAATGTGTATTTATTGTTTTAGGTTTCTTTCGATAGTTTCAGGATATTTTTTGTTGATTCAATACATTAATGAATAACGACCACAATAATGTAATAATAAAGACAACGTTTTAATCTATTCTTCTTTCCTTTTAGATCAATTCATGCTTGATTATTTTTCTTTTAATATTATTGATGACGTAGTACCTTGTTATATTATTATTATTATTATTATTATGATAATTGAGATGAGCAGAGTACACAGTACTATAAGCTCATGCAGTAAATATAGTGTACGGACACGTAACACAAATACATCAAATAGAAAAAAATAAAAAAAATACAGTTCACAGCTATAAAGTTTGTACACTCCTCCAGCTATCATACTGCACTTTGAAGCTATTAACTGAAGTAGCACCAACCACACTTTCAGGTAAACTATTCCAGGTGTTGAATATGCGGTTGGGAAGAAACCACTGTCGGACTGTTATTTTAAATGGCTCCTTATGCAGTTTGAAGCTGTGTCCGCGTAGATTGCTGCGCGACAGATGGTATAGATGCATGAGGTTGGTGCCCATCAAACCATGAAGTATCCTGAACGTAACTATAAGATCGCCACGAAGTCTTCGCTCAGAGAATGAGGTCAGGTTGAATAATTCAAGGCGATCTTCATAGCTTGGTCTTCGTGCTCCAAAAGGGATACGAGTAGCCCGACGCTGTACTGATTCGACGAGATTTCTATCGCGCAGAAGCACAGTGTCCCATACCGGGCCAGCGAATTCAAGAATTGGCCTCACGAATGCCTTGTAAATGTAGGCGCAAGTGTTGACATCGGATCCTTTGAAAGACCTCTCCAGCATATATAGAAGTTTCTTGGCTTTTGATGTAACGTGGTGAATATGCTCTGACCAGAAAAGATGATCGTTGACTACAACGCCCAGATCAGTGTGGCTCGAAACTGCTTCGGTGTTGTGGTCAGAGATCTTGTATGTAAATCGCGGATTTGTCTTCCCGAGGTGAAGGACACAACACTTAGTTAGATTTAAGGGTAAAAATCCATGCTGATTCTTAGGGATAAGGTCATTTTCGAAAGCAAATGACTGGAGCTTATCTAATATGATTCTTTCAGCTATTTTGGCGGCGATAGGAACGAGACTTATTGGTCGATAATTTTTTAGTGGAGGATTTATCGCCCTTTTTGAATACAGGGGTAACAGAAGCACTAAGCCAGCATGAGGGTAGGGTATGAGATCTAAAAGACGATGTGAATATCAAGCTTAATGGTAGGGCCAGTGCTGAAGCGCAGTTTTTAAGTACAGCAGCCGTCATCCCATCTTTACCAGGGGAGGAAGAGGTCTTCAGATTTCGCAGGTGCATTAATACATCTTCAGGCAGGAACTCAACTTCGCAAAGGCTGTTGGGACACCTATGGCAGATAGTGGTCGGTAGAAGGTCTCCATTAGGCTCATCGACGAAGTCATCACTAAAGGACTCTGCCAGTAAGTTGGCAGATTCGGTGGCATCCATGTGGAGATGACCGTCAGCGTCGCGGATCTGAGGTGATGAAACTTTGGAATTCAGGTTTGTTCTTAGATACCGAAACAGCTTCTTCTTATTTTTGGAGGTAACGAGTTTTCGTTCATAAGCATGTTTGGCATTATGTAACGTTCTAGATAGGAGGTTAGAAAAGGATCGATGAGACACGTAATCTTGTGAATGGCCACTCCTCCTAAACCGTTGCCACAAAGATCTCTTGTGACGAAGCATCCTCGATATGTTAGAGCTGATCCAGGGCTTTGAGGGGTCACAGTATATCTTCTTTTCAACAGTATTGTCAGCCGTTTCGCTTAGGACTCGTTGAGCGAAAGTGTCCATATCTTGGGTGCTACGGTTGTTAAGCAAAGCAGGCCAGTTGACTTCAGACAGGGCTTGGTTAAGAGCATCGTGGTTTACAATTTTGATGGTTTTAAGCTTACCGGTTGTAGAACGACTATTTATATTGAACTGGAGAGAAGATAAAAGTGAACAATGGTCAGACTTGCCAAAAGGTGGCAAATAATCTAAATTAGAAACAAAGTCTGCGTCGTTAACGAATATCAAATCCAGAGCCCTAGGCGTCTGTCCTTCCCTGAATCTCGTTGGACGATCAACAAGTTGAGATATGCTAGAGTTGCGTAGCAAGTCGATGTAAGCAGCAGAAGAAGAATTGCATTCAGGAATGGTTGACATAGGCCAGCTAATGTCACGTGGATTGAAGTCACCAGCTATGAAAAGGTTGGTATTTTTATTTAAGAGATCTGAAATGAGACTGCACAGGTATGTGTATCCCAAACAGGGCCGTGGCCGATATACGCAGCCTATCGTGAAGCTGAAATTTGGGCACCTCAATTCCAAAAAATAGATTGTCAATGCCATCGAAAGGACTGAAAGAGGGAGATACCGAGAAAGCCGACGCGATTTCCGTGCGAACACACATTCCGTGCATACTCCACCAAAACCAGGAGTGCGTGGTGAATCCATTCTGTATAAATAGTATCCAGGCAAATTGATGGAAGAGTCGGACACGTTGGAATGGAGCCATGTTTCAGTAAGACAAACGAACGTTGGATTATTGCCTCGAACAAATGCTTGGAGTTCAAGTAGCTTAGAAAAGAGAGATTGTATATTAGTGTAACAAACCGTCCAGTTTGCCACAGAATTTATCAGTTTTTTGAAGGTGTGATCTCCTGGGTAGCTGTGTGTACTATAGAAGGTTTACCACGAACGTATTTTATAGTAATATTACTTTCGCCTGTTGTTTGACGACGTCTAAGCTCTTCGCGAAGGTGTTGTAGTTCTTGCATTTGACCTCTGGTTTTGTCGTCAGAGATTTTTACGTGACGAAGCGTGGGGTGGCTAAGGATGGAGTTTTTCTTCCGCAAAATATTGCTGACGATAATAGGTGAGGAAAACACAACTCTAATTAAACGATTGCTTGAAGTTGTTCTGCCAAGGCGAGTGATGCTGAGTCGGTGATTTTCGGCAGATGGTTCAATATGCCTAATTATCTCTGATACTATGTTTATGTCATCGTTACCTTCAGCTATGCCCCTCAGAATGATATTGTGGGAACGTCTAAATAACTCCATTGTCTCAGCTTGGGAGCTTGGGGCAATAGGGGTAGAAGAAGCGCCGTTGCCTGAGTGCATCATCTCCATAGATCTTGCAAGTCTCGATTCAATATTAGCAATGTTAGAAGACAGCTCTGTTTGAGTAACCTGGATATTTTGTATGTTGGTTTCGCAGGCCGCTATTAAGTCATCATGCCGAGAGATCGAGTCCGAATGTTGCTGTAGCAAGTTTCTACAATAAGCAACATCAGTTCTGAGTTGAAATTGAGAGTTCTTAATATCCTTTATGTCACTGGCCATAGTTGATAATTGGTTAAGTATAAGGGTGAGAGTGTCGGTAGGGGTAGACTGATCTGGTTGTAAAGGAGCAGTGGTTTCTGAACGAGCACCGCATGTGGAAGAGGTGGATCCGCTTCGGGTAACTCGTCCCTGTTTACAACAGGCTGGGCAAGACCATCGTTCTTTTCCGTCCGACAGTTCTTCGTTGTTATCACTGTATTTTTCTACATTATCCCCATCTTCAGGATCTTTCATGTTTTTATTCTTCTTTCGCACAGTCCTACTCATGTTCCCTTATTCCAGCGGCTATTTCCGGATTACCCTATACACTCTGTAGACTAGTTTCTTAATTTGATTTGACACAATTGACGAAATGTCCAAATGACAAAATGGAATATATGGTAAAATGGCTGAAGATTACTCCCACGGCTCTGGAAACTATCGCCAACAGGTCCACGGACGTACCTCTTCCTGCTCTTAACTTGAACACCTCTGGTTTTAAATATTTTTGGCTTTTCTCCGATATTTTGAGGTATTTACAGTGAATACTAATTTAGTAGTCTACTTTTTAACTTATGCTTATATTGTGTACTTCATTGGAGCAACACTGTATTGATTACAGCGTTTGACTAACATAGGCGAATGCAGTAACGAAGTTAATGTGGTTGTTACTTTGTTTGACTGAAACTGTTCAGTCATTACAGGGAATGACTGAAATGCTTAGTCAAACGTTGTAATAGTCAAACTTGCGGTGTTTGCCGGCAATACGGGGACTGACTAGGCATTTCAGGCAAGGGCGGATTTCAGCGTTTGACGGCGACATATCTATTACTAGCTGATGGATCTGCGAACAAAAGGCTTGTACAAATAAAAATTATCTACTTCGGATGTGTACCCTTAATCAAATGTGTTTAGTAGAGTGTTAGTGAGTGTATTTGAGATCAACATAGATTGTTAGTACACTAACGGTCATTGTACACTGCAGTGTTCCCTCCCGGCTATTACATAAAGCTTACAGCTTGGTCGTCGAAGCTATCAACGTGCCATCTCTAAAGCAGATGTTACATCACACCAGAGGCAAGCAATATATGTAGCTCAAGTATCATGAACATGAAGTGAATGAAAGCTAGTTTCAATTTGACATTTCTAGGGCAACCTACAACATTTTTCGTGCACTATTTTTGTCTTTTTTTGTGAGCTGTCGCACATAAACGTGGTCCTGTGCCCTGATGGTGCGCTATCGGCAAGCCGCTGTGGATATGGAGACATTGTCAGACAGCATTTACGTTCGACATATTAGTATATATTCGCGATTAACCTAAAACCTTCTTTACGCTGAGTCACTATTGATGTATGCAGATCGTGAAACTTAAGCAAGAAGACCTGTGCCGATATGATACAAATGTTTTATCCTTCGCCCCATGTCTTCGTTATGTATACCCAAAAAAGATTCTAACAGCACCTCTCTAGATACTAGGGAACTTTCAGTGTTCTTGATTTGCTGCTTCGTTCTCCGTTATCGGAATAAGAAAGCTCCGTTAGTTACGAAAAATAGGGAGCGCTTATCTCGTTTTACCTTATTCAGCGCTGTTTCCAGAATTCGTAAAGCTGGGAAGCTTAATTAGAATAATTTCAAGTTATAAAAACAAATTGGTTAAAACAGAATATGACTTTTGGATCACAGATAAAAAGAAATACAAGAAATAGGGAGTTTTATAAATGATCTGAATTGTCCTTATTTCGGTTAATTAAGTATGACAATAAATTCTTTAAGTAATTTCAAGACAAAGAGTTTTTAAATATCCTTTACCTATTTTTTTTGTAATTTGGCGGTAGTATTCATAACATTAAGGGGCTAGTTTGGCCCTAAGTTGATTAAATTTAATTCCAGTGGCGTCTCGAGCAAGGTCTGAATGAATATTTGTGACAAAAACTGTACGTCACTGACTTTTGTGCAATTTTTAATTATGTTCTTTGGATTAAGCAAATGGAAATACAACTTCTTTGTCTCTTGAATAGTGTTCGAGAAAGGAAAGTCCTCTTAATAGCATACCCCTGGACCACACAAGGAATATGCGGAAAAGTTTCTTTCCGTTGAAATGATAACATAAAAATTTTGGGGTTAGCTGCAGGTCCAAATCGAAAAAAAAAACAAGCAGCCTATCCTAATTGTCAGTAGTCAGTACTGTCAAATTGCCACTGTTCCATTTAGTGGTCATAAGAACTCCCTCAACCATCCCCCTTTGCTGTGAGTGTGAGGCTGTTCATCCAAATTTCTTGTATCCAAATATCTCGGTGACGTAACGCCAGTCCTTCCAGAAACGACGGTTGTAAAACCTAGGCTGTTTTGTTTCTCAGCCGATCAAAATAGTAATTCGGCATGTTTTCCTGTTACAATTCTTATGCGACGATAAACACGTAGCAACGAGGTAAATTTGCGGTTTATAAATTGGTGAAAATGCATTTCTTCGATAATCCCGACTTACAGGGCCGTCTTTAGGGTGGAGCGAGTAGAGCGGCCTCGCATTGAGGAAGGCCTTACTCAAGCTAACAAATAAATAAAAAGTTTTGGTTGAATGAAAATAATATAATAACGTACGTGCCTAAAATATATGTCTGATTACTCTCGCAATATGTTAAATTATTGATTAATTACAAAACCCACGAACCAGATAAACGTGACCAAAAGAATGCAAAACATCGCTTGATAGTGGCGGCGAGGCCCGGGGTGACAGCTCCCCAAGCCCCGCGCATGCCGGTGGGCGACTTGCCAGCGCGCTGCCTTGGAGTTGCGTCTCAGTTACTTCAAGGGCAATTTTTTCAGAAATTTAGAGTTGAAAATTTTGTGGCGGCCACATTGATAGCAAGAGAACTTAGTAAAACTCTGGGTGTAGAGCCAAAGTTCAAAGAAGTCAGACAGATATAGAAAAGAAGAATGTTTGAGTTCGAAGCCGAGCAAAAGTTTAAACAATATTTAAGATTTTCACTTAACAATACCAAACAAATAATAGTATGTGTAAATAATATTAATATTTTGTAATAATATGTGCTTATTTATGATTGATTATTCACTACAAAAAAAGATGTCTAAAACGATATTATTTATTTCCTGAGAGAACTGAATTTTATTATAATTTTCCTAATGATTTATTGTTAAAAAAATTAATTCGGAAGAGTTTGTAGCATAGTCATAAATCATATTTCTTTCTTATCTCAATTCTTTACACAGAGTGAAATATTGTAAACCTACATCAAAATAAAAATAAACTCAACCCTGGCAAATGAAAAAAATTACGTAAATAATTGGCGTGTCTGTAGACCACTTTCTTTGAAAAAAAAGGCCTCGCAAAAATATTTTCTTCCGGGTCTCCCGTCTGCTAAGGACGGCTCTGCCGACATATCGGGATCCCTGGTCTTTGCTATGGCGTGTACGAGGGATGTCTTTTAAGTTTTGCATATGGAAATAAGAAACACGGTAGGTACTTTTAAATGACTTTATTGTTTTTCGAAGTATTCTCCACGAAGATTAATACACATCTGCATGCGCTCGAACCAATTTTCGAAGCACTTATTCCAGTCGATTGCTGGCAGATCCAAAACGGCATTTTTGAATGCGTTAACTGCTTCTTCTAGTGACTGGAACCTTTGACCACGCAGTTTGTTTTTAATTTTCGGGAAAGTAAAGAAATCGTTAGGACTTAGATCGGGACTATATGGAGCATGGTCCAATAATTCCACGTTCTCTTCCGTTAAATACTGCCTTGTTTTTTGGGCTGTGTGCGAGCATTGTCTTGGCGGAGGATGTTTCTTCTTTCGGAGTTGATTTTTCGAAGCTCGGTGATGACTTTTGGCAAACAAATGGTGGTATACCAATCCGCAGTTACAGGTCTTTGCTCATTAAGAGGAATTGTTGCAATATGACCCGTTTTTGACACAAATGTCCCGACCATCTTTTTCGAAACACTTCGAACACCAATTAACCCTGGCTGCTTTCTGCTCTTCAGTCAACAGGTGGGGTATCCAACGAGAAACTGATTTTCTTACTCCTAATTCTTCATGTAAAATTTTTTGAAATGAGGTCTTTGAGATCTTGAAGGATGCCACAATCTCGCGATATGTCACATGTCTATCTTCATTGATGAGTTTGCGCACAGCATCGACGTTTTCCTGGGTGACTGCCGTTTTTGGTGCACCCACCCTGGTATCGTCGCTAAGACTCACCCGTACACGTTTGAATTCTCCATACCAACGGGAAATTGATGTGGCGCTTCGTTGCCGAAAACAGACAGTAACTCAGCAAGGCATTCTTGTTGCGATAATAATTGTCTCTGAAAGTTGTAATAAATTATGGCGCGAAAATGTTCTCGCTTGAGTTCCATTTTTCTAATGACTTGGTGACACTTAAAAATTCACTGTAGTGAGAACACTGCACGTATTGTTGTGAAACTTTGAATTTAAGTTTACTAAAGAGTAAGGTTAAGATTCAGTACTGCCGTTCGATCCGCGCGGCCTACTATGTTTCTAAATGCAAAACTTAAAAGACATCCCTCGTATTCGTAGAATTTTAATAGAGTTTGAAATAATGCAAACGGTTATCTCAAACAAACTTCTACAAGTTTGTCTTTATTCAAATATGCATAAGTACACAGAATAGAAGCCTATTTTGCAGTCGTTCCGTCGAAGCGGTGAGTTTCATCGTGCCAATAGATAAGTAAACTATGCAGACCGCAATAACGTATAAAAAATTGCATAGCCGTCTCATCCTTTCTCAAAAATATACTATGGCAAAACGCTCTCTGTTTAGAAGAAAAAAGATTTGCCGAATTAAATCCAACAGCTCTGATAGCTTTCAGCATACTGAAGATAAGGAATAATTAGCTCGTTTCACACCACAATATGTAGGGTTCATGAAGTATCTGACTTAACGGAGTTAGTTACCAAGGAATGAAGGTCATATGAACCTGGCTTAACAAAGCTTCGTCTGCAAGATGCATCTAAATTAGTCCACACCTTCATAATGCTTCTGAAATCTAAAGTGGCGCATAGAACCTAGGTCAAAAAATTAGGAAGTGATGGATTCTCCAAAAACAAATGACTAGTCTGCCCTCAAAAAAGGGAATAAGAATAAGCTACATGTGCATGATGTGCGGAAGCTCCCTTTCCGTGGAAATGCATAGGCTGCCATAAAATCAATTTCACCATTCAAGTGCATCTCCAACTACAAACTGGTCACGAAGGTGTCATTTTACAACGCT